GGTCCTTTTGACCCCACTGGCCCTGTGCTATCTGGGTCCCCAGATGGGCTCCCCATCCGAACAGGCTCGCATCTGTCGTGAGCGTGACCCTGTTCGGTTCCCTGAATATGCTCCCCTTGAGTGTCATGGGGGATAGCCACCATTTTAGTGATTTCATCACCTGTGCTGGTACCAGCACACTCCTGTTTGAGGTGCTGAGGTTCCTCCTCTGGTAGGGTAGGAGGAACCACTGCAACTCCCTCGAGTGGAGCCTTGCCCATGGGATGATGCCCATGCAAGATATCATCTTTCCCAGGAGCTTCGAGAGTTGTAGCAAGGGCACTCTCCTGATCTTTTGAATTTGGTGGATTAGCTTGGATATGCTGATCAGTCGCTCCTGGGAAAGGAATACCCTGCACTGTGACGTGTCTATCACCGCGCCCAGGTGTTGCAGTCTCCTTGAGGGAATGAGGTGGCTCTTGTTTAGATTGACCGAAAATCCGTGCCCCTGTAGGGTTCGGATTGTGGTCTTGAGATCTGTCCTTGCTTGTTCCCGAGATCTGGACTGAATCAAGATGTCGTCCAGATAAAACTGGACGCGAACCGGAATCAACCTGAGATGGGCCGCTAGTACAGCTAAGATCTTTGTGAATACCCTTGGTGCTGACGACAGTCCGAAGGGTAATGCCCTGTATTGGTAATGTCGCCCCGCGTAGGTAAATCTGAGGAATTTCCGGTAGCTGGGGTGGATGGGGATGTGTAGGTACGCCTCTGTGAGATCTATTGAGGATAGTAGATCGTCTTCCCTGACGCTGGCTAGTATGGACTTTAAGGAGTGCATCTTGAACCTCCTGTACTTTATGAAATAGTTCAGGCCCTTCAGGTCCAAGATTGCTCTCCACCCTCCTGATGTCTTTGGGATGACGAAGAGGATAGAGTAAAATCCTCTTCCCTCCTCCTCCTTTGGTACCTTCTCTATGGCCTGAATTGACAGGAGGTGGACTATAGCCGAAGTTATCAGCCTCGTCTTGTGTGCTCTTCTGGAGATGGGACATCTGATGAACCGGTTTGGTGGGGGAGAGCAGAAGTCTAAGGTCAGGCCATGTCTGATCGTTTCCAGGACCCAGGAGTCGGTCGTGGTCTGCTCCCAGACCCTGATGAAATTTCCTAACCGACCCCCAATGGGAGTATCCTGTTTGGCGTCACTTGGTGCGTTTAAAGGATCTGCCTCCCGCTCCCCTATATGGGCGTCTGGACTGGAACTGGCCCCTGGCTCCCGGGCTCTGGCGATCCTGGGTTCGATCCTGTCTGGGGTAGAAGGATCGTGAGCCTCTGGGCCAGTCCCAGGATTGCCCTGATCGAAAGGGCTGCCTCCATTCCCAGGGGCTTCCTGGGCGGGAACCCTGTCTCCGGAAGTCCTGACTGCCTCTCCTGTCTAACTTCTTTGATGGGTGTACTAGGATTTTTTTCTTGTCTCTGCCTTCGCTGACATGTGGGTCCAGAATGGAACCAAATAGGTCTACTCCACTGTATTTGGACGTCGAAAGACGCCATTTGGACCTCAGGTCTGTCTTCCAATTTTTGAGCCATAGTAGCCTACGTGAGGCCACTGTGGCCGCAATGGATCTAGCCGCATACTTTGTTGCGTACAGTGAAGCGTCTGAGACAAATTGCGAGGCCGCGAGGAGCTTGGCCAATGTTTGGTGTATTCTGACCTGGTCTGGAGGCACCGTGCCTTGCAGTTCCCTCAGCCACATGATGCTGGCCCTCGCGAAGAAAGATGAGGAAGTGGCTGCTCTGGCCGCCCAGGCTGCAGCCATATGGGAACGCCGGAGTGAGTGTTCAAATTTCTTCTCCTCAGGCCTCAAGACCTCCGCCATGTCTCCTGGAATCGCGGAGGTAGAAAATAATGAGATTAATGGGTTATCGACAGTGGGAACCTCTAACATGTTAGAGAAGGAGGGAGATAGGTTGAAAAGCTTTCTTTCCGCGCTGTTTGGTGCCGGTGGGCTTGCAAGTGAGGACCATTGTTCCTCCAGCGTGGTCATGAAGACCTCCGCACATGGGATGTACTTATCTTGTGGAACCTTTTTGGCAAACAGAGGATTGGCCTCCTTGCTTGTTGAGGGCTTCTCATCCTGTACTGATGTTAGGTTGACTGTGGAAACAGCCTTTACCAGGAGTGATTTTAGGAGCGCTGGGTTAAAGAGTCCAGAGCTCGTTGCCTGCTCAGGTGCCGTCTCCTCGTCCTCCGAGAGGGGCATGTCTGACATGTCGAGGTCCACTGAGTCACCCTCTCCCAGTTGAGAGGAAGTTTCAGAGGTGCTGGTAGGGGGTGGCCTAGCCCGACCCTTACGGGGTGTGTGAAAGGCCACTTGTCCCTTAGAAGCCATGAACTGGGAGAATGCATCCTGCATGAATGCATGGAATTGTGCCGACCAAATGCCCTCCTGCGCTTTGTCGTTAGAGTGAGGCGCTGGGGTGCGGTCGGGTGAAGAAGCTGGTGAGGAGGGGTTGGAGGAGTCTAACTGTTCAGTTTCCCCAGGAGGAGACCAAGTCTTAAGCACTTCCTCGGCAGTAGGGTCTGTGCTGGGTGCCACCGCTGGGACAGGGGAAACCGAATTTGTCCCATTGGCATTGGTTCTCTGTGCCCTGCTAATTTGTCTTTCTAAAGCCAAATGTCTCCTCAAAGCCTCTCGCTCAGCCGTTTTAGACTGTCCCTTCTGAGAAAGGTGTTTTGTTTTAGCTTTCTTCTTCCCCCCCACCTCAGATTCAGAAGATCTGCGTTTTTGTTGTTGCTGTGGGGGGGACAATTGAGGGACCTGTGTGACTGAATACGAGACATTGTCTGCCATTGTGCCAGACACCCCGAGTAGGTAGTGCCTGGAGTGGGGGACAGGATACGCAGACCAGATGCAGATGTTTGGGGCTGAGCCCTCCTCTGCCTATACAAACAATGGCCGGACAGACAGGAGTCTTTGGACAGAAGATCCTGCAAGGCAGTGACTAAAGGTCACTATAGGAACAGTCAGAGAAAAATACTCCTCCTCACCTCCTCACTTAGTCCAGAGAAAGTGCAGTTTATACCTCTCTCTCCCCCTGTCTGTGGCTGTGGCAGCAGACCACGATCAGAAAGGTTCTCTTCCTTTTCCCTCTTCCTTCCTCCTGTCTCAGTTTCTTGCGATAATCCCGGATTTTAGCTTAAGGGCTGCCCCTTTGTCTGCAAGGGAATGGAGTCCGGATGGCCCCGCCCCCAAGGGAAAACGGCGGGAAGGTCCGTTCGCTCAAAATGGCGAATGGGGAAGAAACCACGCCTCCTAATGTTAGCCCGGGAATCCACGAGGTTCAAACAATGGCGGATCTTTGACTCTGAGGGACCGCGCCTCTCCTCTAAGGAGAAGGCACTTCTAGCGCTGGTTCTGCCTCTCGCGCCGCTCCGCTGGTCTATGCCGAGCGGCGCCGCGGTTTAGCCGCTTTCCGCGCGGCTCAGCTGTTTCGCGCTGAGCGGCGCCTCGTTCTATCGGCCCCAATCACGCTTTCCGCGCGGCTCAGCTGTTTGGCGCTGAGCGGCGCCTCGTTCTATCGCCCGAACCGCTCAGCTGTTTGGCGGCCCCGGAGAGCGGCGAGCAATCCGGTAGTGAAACCCCCGCCCCAACAGCTGCTCGGTGGGCCGGTTATCGGCGGGCGAGCGATCCGGTCCGGCTCCAAGCCTCCCGTTAGTCCCTGACGCCCCACTCACGAATCCGCCGATCCCGGCTGCCTCTCTCGAGTCCTATCCGCTGCCAGACAAATTTTCGTTCAACTGGAGGAAGAGGGGATTCCCTTTTTTTTTTTTTTTTTTTTTTTAAGTTAAGTTAGTTTTGTTCTGAGAGCTGCTTCTCGCACTTCTACCAGGCTTCGAGACTGAGTCAAAACTGGGGTCACGCCCAAAGGAAGGGGTGTGGCCGAAGTTTTTACCCAGTCTGCCAGGCAGGAAGGCCGTCATAGAACCCATCCATTTGGACTCTACAGTCATCCTGCTGGAGAATTCTACCATCATTGCCCTAACAAAGATATCACCTCAATATGAACTCTGAAATTTTCTGGCACATACGGTTAACTTTGCTTTGTGTGACCTATCAATTCAGGACCTAGTCTTTAATAGTAGCATTTTGCATTTGGAGAAGATTTTGCATTATCAATTTTCCTGCAATATTAAATAGCCTCTACATTTTGTAAAATATGAGACAGTAAACTGTAGTGGGCCCTAAACTCAAAGAAAGCTATTTCCTGTACCACAAGATACTATATATTTTTATTTATATATTTCAGTAAACTATTGAAAGCAAACAATTAATATATTGCTCATGACAAAAAGCACATATACAAATATCAAATCTTTTTGTACTTTGTACCAGATATAGCACTCTGGCACAAGAAAAATAAATGTATGCAAATTCCCTGAAATGTCACAGACAGACTCAACCAGAGTTACAGATGCAATCATCTAACAATATAGGCGACAGAGATGGACAGGCCAGTCCAAGACTTTCTCTGCAAATATCAATCTGACACCAATTCCCCAAACAATGATCTTGGAGCCAGTCACTCCCATTCAGCCTAAACTTTCCCAGTGTGTTACTTCTAAAGAACTGTCTATCTCCCAGAAGAAAGGGGAAATCTAAATGTGATTAAATACAACAGGAGGGAGAATTGGAAATACTTGATTTCATGGTACTGCATTATTTTCAATTCAAAGTAACCTTCCCTGGTATGTAAAATAACCAGATGGGACATCTAATTTTGACTTTATGTTCAGGTATAACGAGTACCCATGGAATCATTTTCTAAATTGATGCTTTCAAGTAAATGTTTCCTGAGGATTAACATAAATAAGGTAATATTTGTGTTCATTTTTTAATTTAAGCACATTTTACATACGGTGACTATTACATATTAAAAACATAGTTAATAAAGAAGCTTTATTTTTATTAATGAGGTAATTAAAAACCCAAAAATTTCTTACAAGACTTTTCACTTACATACATGCCCTTCAGTTCAGTGGATGCTTGTTGGAAAGCTGGCATCATTCTTTTGCAAACTCCACACCCTAATACAAGATATAAGGGAAATAATAATTACTCTTAAATTTATCTACAAAGTTCCTCCAGCCACATGCATGTACGTGATTGCAGAATGAAGGATTTTTCATTAACGGTTATGGATCATAATTATAGTGACCCTATGCCCTTTATTAAACCTTTCACAAAGATGCCCTTTAGTTTTATTTACTTTTCATAAACCTGCTTTTGTCCTTTATTTTGGGAATTTAAATTTTATTGATACAAATAGTACTTTGTGTTAAAATTATGGAAATCAAATTGTTTTTTTTAATAAATGTCCATATATTATTTGATATTATATATATATTGTAAAAGTTTTTGTGAAGTTTCTCTTAATTTTTGATTCCTTGATCACTTTATTTTCCTTTGTAAACCAAAGTTACATGTCATATCATGTTTAAAAATTATTTTATTATTATGAACATTTTCAGATTTGTCCCTTTTTCAGGTTTATCCTTTATTTTTTTCAGTGAAAATATGGTCAGCATAATCATACTCTACAACGCCAGTCTAGTGCACATGGATAGATGTTTTTAACTTCCCAGTTCAATGGGGGATCTAGAACCTATTTCTCTCTGCTCCTAGTCTTGCACCTAAACTAGTACACCACACTGGCTTTTATACTTTCTGTGTTCATATGTTTTAAAATGCATAAACGTATTCCTGACTTGCCAAAATTATTCCTGAGTTAAGCATTTCTCTTGACCTCTATATACTCAAGTGTTCAGCAATCAAAAACCTATTTCATAATATTACCTTTCTTAGATTAATTCCAAATGTGAAGTGAAAAAATGGAATAGAAACTTTGGAATGAATCTACGTGCACCAATGCTACGCAATATACTGAATGAAACGGTTTTTAGAAAAAAATCAATTTAGAGTGCATGGGGGTATTAATGTAGCACCTATCTGCAACTTTTTAAAGTCGCTGTATCTTTTCTGGGGCTTGCATGACAGGCCTCTTCACCTGCTACAGTAACTTTAAAGAGTTGCAAACAAATGTTTAGTTTGTATCCTGGACATTTTGAAGAAACTTTTTAGAAAGGAATCCAAGGTCTTGCACAGATCTAATGCACACATGTGATCTTACAGAGAAATAAATACAAACACCACCCATGCTCAGTATTTCTACCCAAAATAACATTTGCACAGTTGAAAGTAACCAGTACAAGAAAAATATTGCAAAGACAGCTAGTAATTGGTGGCCATATTTGAATACATTTATCCTTAATTGTAACAATTTTCAAAGCTTTTAACTATTGCACTGGTTTTTCAGCCGGGGCGATTTCCAAAATTTTAATTACTAGCACAGTTTCAATTAGCTTCTTAGAATATAACAATAGTAAATTTAGCAGCTAGAAACAGGAGCTGATTCAATGACACTGTTGCATCATTGTATAGGAATAATGATCAATAAACCAACAGCAGGACTACTTGTGAGAAAAACTGTTGGGTTATCTTCCCATTTTCTTTAAGAAAGTTAAACCTTTTGATTTGACTAGTTGGGGTTGTCACCAAAAATAGGGCAATCTGAGATCAATTCTGCCAACATTAGCTCTAGAAAGCTGGAGATTTATACAGAGTAATTTACTGGAATATAGTGCCATCTATAAAATATATTCATGATCAATTTTAATTGTATTTTTAAAAATATGTTTATAGAAATCCCTTGTAGTATTCTCATTTTCCTTCCAGTGAGGAATTAAAAGATTAGAGGAGTTTTGGACAGGTTCTACAGCTACAGAAATGTCTTATGAATAGTTTACTAAGTGAATATTTGAAGTTGCAATAAAGTCAGTCCCAGAGAAGACTGTAACCTTTAGAAAGCAAAAGTCAGACTTCCTCCCAGATATAACTTTAAATATAAGATAAGGTTAAAGTCATTTAGACAAGCAAACTAGACAAGGCTCTGGCACGGGATCTACCTTCTACTGATAATAGTTTTAAGATGTTTAGCCTGGAAACTGTCCAATGCTGATATGGGTATTTTCATACTAGCCCAGGTCAGAAAATCCTAGCTATGGGAGAGGATTCTCAATCTGCTATGATAGTTTTATATACTGGAGGAGGAACTACTGAGGCAGGAAAGTCAGATCAGAGAGTCTGTTTATTTCATCTGTATCCACTGATATAAAAACACAGTAAATTTCATGTACCCAGTGTTTTAGAATTGGTTCATAAAAGCAGAATTTCTGGACTAACAGCAATATATAAAGACCTTTTTTTAAAAAAAGAAACCCTCTAGCTCAAAATCAATTAGGTAGTTGGAGTTATGGATGCATAGAATTTTATTTTCAGATCCATTATTTCTATTAGCCATATTTATGTTATTTTTAATACACTATTGATCTGTTTGCTCCAGTCTATTCATCTTGTTAATGTTTGCTGTACAATTGCAATTTCCTTTCTCTGTATATATTTGTGGCTTTGCACGCACACATATCCTCTTGTTCCTATTGCAATCTGCAGACTCCATGCATAAGCAACGTAGAGTCTACTCATTTGATTAAAAAGGAATTTATCTGAAGCATTTTTCATCGTACTAAGCAAAAACCAGTATTGCAGACCCAGTGTTACTTTGATTACTAAGGAGCAGTAACCTTCAAAGAAGATCCTCCATTAGTATCTAAAAGCATTTGATAGCAGAGTCTGAAGACAGATTTTTCATTAAAAGAGAGGAAAAAGTCAAGTCATCTGGCAGCGCTTGCTAGAAACTGGCTAGTTATATGTATAATTAGGTTGCTTGAAGGAGAAGACAATACTCATAAAATCTAGGTGTATCACACTAAGTGTTCCATTTTTTAATGTTGGGTGAATGAAATTCAACTTTTGGAGATGAAGATTGGCGATTAAGATCTAAATTGGCTCATGTTAAATAAATAAAGCCAGAAGAATTTCACCAGCATTTCATGTAAAACAATCACTTCATTGGGTTTAATAGATTTCCTATTGGATCCAATCCAGATTTCCTATTTTTTGAGTGAAAAAAATTATTTAGTATGAAGAAGTCAACTTAGCGAAACTTTTATACTACAAGCTGGATGCTAATGCAGGCAAAAAGGAGAGAGATCATTTTCGTCCATCTTTTTTCCCCAGCACCTGGCATCACTTCCAGTCTTGTTTCTTAGTACTATGATTCCAGTATTGGATTAGCTGCAAGGGGAGAAAGTAAAATCCACCTCCCCATCTTGCCCACAGAAGCATCTGTTTCTTGGAGATCTACTTCACTTAGAACATAGAATAATAAGATTGGAAGGGACCTTGCAGATTTTCTAGTCCAACCTCCTGCTCAAGCAGGAGACCCTATACCATTCTGGACAAAGGCTGTCCAATCTTTTCTTTAAAACCTCCAATGATGGAGCACCCACAACTTCTGGAGGTAAATAGTTCCACTAATCATTCTCACTGTCAGGAATTTTTTCTAGCTTGAATCTCTCTTTAATGACCTTCTACCAGTTACTTCTTGTCCTGCCCTCAGGTGTTTTGGAGAATAGGTCAAGTCCTTCTTCTCTGTGACAGAAGTACTGAAAGATTGCCATCATATCACTTCTAATTCTTCTCTTAGTTAGACTAGACATACCCTGTTTCCTCAATCGTTCATCTTATGATTTAGCCTCCAGATTTCTTATCTGTTGTTCTTCTCTGAACTCTCTCTAAGATCTCAGCATCTATTTTGTATTATGGTGACCAGAACTGGATGCAGTATTCCATTTAACATCATTGCAGAATCAGAAACACCAGAATCTAAAAACATACTTGGGAGGAGAGATTTTTCTTCCCTAAAAGAATGTAAGCTTTGATCATATCCAAAAGAACAACATAGAAACGAGTTATAAAACCATGCTGGGGAAACCTGCTTAAGGAAATGCCCAAACTGAATGACTCAGTTATACTTTGTAAGAAAGTAATTCATAGTAGAAAATAAGTTATTTGCTAGTGAGTAAAAAAGAACACTTTTCAATACCATAGCCTGAAGGAATTATTTATAAGACTAAAGCAAACATTATAACTTCAACCAACATAAAAACAGTGGTCAATTGCAACACATGCTGTGAAGCAGAAAACAGCCAGGCTTTTCTGAGATAAATCTAAAATTTACAAAGAGCCTGCAGAAGTTTCAAGAACAGTACTGAAGAGTAAATATGCGTGAAAGACAAATATGCTATGTCCTAGAAATAAACAGTATACAGCAAAGATTATTTAAGAGCTCATCGCCTTAAAGAAAAATTGTAGGTTTTTCCCTTTTTACATGGCATTTCAAAACAACCATTCCACATATATCTGCCGTGATTCCCCATATATATAGCCAATAAGCATGAATTGATTTTCATTCTGCTGGTTCTTGGCTCTCTTGGTAAATGGCTAGAATGCCACTGTATTCAGCCCTGACAAGGTAAAATCAACCCTTGCAGGTAAATGGCTTGTTAAGGAGCAATGTAAATATATTAGGTAGCATCTTCATAACAATGCAAAATATTTTTGCTGAGGAACACCACATATATATTTAATACAGTTATGCACTCACTTTCAGATTTCTTGCAATCTGATTCTATACTTCTTTTTTTTTCCTTTGTTACAAATTCATTTCTGGAACTTAACAAAATTACTCCTATTCAGTAACATGTGGTAGTTCATCCCTTGCTAGCAGAATATAAATGGCATGCACTGATAAAACACAGAGATCTCAATGTTTTTCATTACTGAAATTTAAAGCAGCTTTTGCCAAGCTGATATCTTCCAGATGTGCAGAGTACAACTCTTCTCATTCTCAGCCCAGAAGTGGGGCTGACCTTGTTAAGAAATTTGATGTAAATTTGATATGTTCCCTAAACACACAATAGATCTATACAAGATTTGAGTCAGAAATCTGGAGAAATGTGTTCTTAAGGGCATGTAGTTATTTCACAGTGTGTGTTAGGTAGCACCAATGGAGTCAGGGAAAACACTATTATTATTTTTTGTGACTTTGCCAATTTCATGTATGGCTACAAAAGAAACTCAAGTGAGATTATTATTTCAATACATTTTGAAGCCACAGGTTTCCTGTCAATACTGTATCACTTTTGAAAAGGGAAATGTAGAAAGAATTCATTTCTCTGATTACCTATAATTCAAGAATGTGAGTTACTTTGGTTAAAGAACATTATGAAAGAAACTCCCAATTTTTCTAAAAAAAAAGGGGGGGCTGGTAGAACCATGAAACACATATGTTCAATCATTTTCCTAGGGAAGATGACGCTTAGGCTTTAACTTTCAGATCAATGTCAAACAGAAAATTGGAGATTATTTTGGTTTCCATTTATTCATCTTGATTATAACTGGAAATGAAGATTCATAAGTTTCTTTTTTCTCCTGATAAAAGCTTAATTGATGGTTTTGGCCCCTTGTTACACCATGAGATATTACAACAAAGACAGGTTTGATGTCATTAGGATCAGAGTTAAGGAAATGAATTCTTTGATATGTTTTTGATATGCCTGCAGTCCTAGATCCTAATCACTCACAATGAAAAGCCTTTATTCCTCATAGAGGCTATCAGCTAACAGAAGAAAAAGATGTCCATATGGCCAACAATAGTAAAGCAGGTTATTCAAAACGCCAACAGGCACAAATGTACCTAAATTAAAAAGACAAATATGCCCACCAATTGAGTTTGTCTTCTGGTGACAGCATCCATGCAGTATTTTTTGTCAGCCTTACAGCTGTAGCTCACCGCTGGTTTATATATATATATATTTTTCCAGCTTCCTAATTTAGCCAAAAACTCTGAAATTTCCAGATGGTCTCTAATTCACGTAGGCATTAGATTACATGAGATCAGCTTAGGTTGGCTATTACCCAATAAATTTGCAGGAGCAATTTTCTGGTATTTTTACTGAGGAACAGGGGTGTGGCAGGCATTACTTCAAACTTGAGAATGGCAGAGATTAGGAAAAAAAATCTATTGAATAGTTACTGCTGTTGCAGGGAGCTCTCCAAGGTATCACAGTATTTATTTTTGTTGGTTCCTTTTTTAAAATGATTGCTGGTTGGGACAGGATATTATTTTCTTGACATGGCCAAGCCATTTTAAGAATAATCGCAGGCCAACATAACTGCAGATCCTTAAATTACAGCAGGAGCAAATGGGTATTCCAAGAAAGTTTAGTATATCTAAGAACAGTCTGTACACATTGAAAACTTGAAATAAATTTGCAAGGTCCACCTGAACCTGAGTATTCATTTTTTTGCATAATTTTAGCAGAGAAAAAGAGTAAAAGAGCATCATTTGAAATATTTTTATGCTACACTGCTATGTTTGTGGTGAAGTCTGGAATAAAAACTGAAGAATGAAGAACATCAGATGCAGAATAATGAGCAGATAGTGAATGTGTGTTGTCAGTTCTCTATGAACAAATGGAATAATTTAACAGAGGTACACAAATATCCGTAAGGGGGCTACCAAATTTTTAAAAATACTGTATTACTCACAAGGGGCATAGAACATCAGCAGAACAGGTTTATCTTCTTTCTTCAGAAGTCTTTTCAGTTCCTTAAAACCAAAAGAGAAAATAAAAAAGATGAGATTTAAGAGTATTTACTCCACATATTTTAGCTAAAATTCCAACAACTATTGGAGCCATCTTATAGTACTGCCAAATAATTTGTGATCTGATTAAATCCTCAATTAAACAGCTACAAACAAATGGATGGTTTGTTATCAACTAGGGCTCAAACACTTCTTACTGAAGCTTCTCACACTTAAAATTGCACATTTAAAAGTACAACCAAAATGTGCAATCAATTCCAATATTAGAAACTTCATTATGACCACCTTTGGTGTTTACTTTCAAAGTACTATTACTAAGAGTGCCCTAAGACCATCCTTGAGGTCTCCATATAATCAGACTAACTGGATAAATCAACTAAGCTTATTACTATTTCAGTATGATCTCAATGTGCTAGTGCTACCTGTACAGATTTTTATATTGGTATTGAAAAGTTGTGGATTTGAATTAGGCATTACTATGCCAATTTAGCAGTCTAGAAATGTAAAGACAGACTGCATTGGCCATTTCCAAGCAAGCATGTAAGGCTTATGAACATAGTTACAAAACTCAGTCAACCATTTGTATCTAAGGATTATATTGTCAGCAATTGAAACTTATAGTTTAACTCTCTCCCAGCCAGACACATCAATAGGATCTGATGTTGATTGCAGTGCAGCTCTGCCTCTTATACACATTATGAGACATCTTAATTCATGTGCACAAGGTGTAGGCCATGCCTCAAGACAGGATGATGCTATTTCCAACATCTGTATGCTCTTGATCTCACTCATACAGATGTATAGCCCATATAGCACCAACAAATCCTAATGTTTTATTGATGAATAAATCCAAAACATATTAAAGAGTTGGCTTTGCACTTGTATTTAAGACACTTAAATGATTGATAAACTCTCTTTTAGAATTAGCTCTTAAAAACACAATGATGAAATTTAAAACCATGATATATCAAACAACCAGCTGTGATAAAATTAAAAATAATTCAGTCTTTAAATTGGCTATCTAGGTAGCACTTCCACAACTGAGACTTAATTTAATTAAAGCCCTTAGGTCTTGTCATTAGACCAATACCATACTTCTTGGATTAGAAGCTTTGATAAGGCCCATTAGTTGCATTTATTATTTGAATATTTGTCTTTTGCAATATTCTTCAAATTTTATTAATTGTGCTTCCTCCTAATTGTAAGATTTTTTTATTGTAAAATTTATTTGTTATTCACTTAAGAATAATTTGTTTAGCAGCTGTTCAAAGTTACAACAGCACTGAAAAAAGGGACTTATGACTGGTTCTCACACTTATGAATACTGCTGCATCTCTGCGTCATATGAGTGTGATTTGAGTGTTTGGCAACACTCATGCATTTACAATGGTCACAGCATCCCATGATCATGGGATCACCCTTTGCAAGTTTCCCAATCAGCTTCCCACGAGCAAAGTAATGGGGAAACCAGTGGAAGGTTGCAAATTGTGATCACATGGTGTCTTGCTTGACAACCACAATAATTTGCTTAAAACTGCAACCAAGATTGCTGGAACTGCTGTTGTAAGTTGGTGTGGTCATAAATTTTGCTTAATGACTGTTTCACTTAGCAATGGAATTGCCAGTTCCAATTAAGTGTAGGGTTAACTGAGGATTACCTGTAAATTGACAACTTTCTAGCATATTTTAGGATTAAATTTCTTCCCTCTGTGATTTTGTTTTGGTTCTTTGCTTTCTCAGCTATATAGAGAAGACTTTATAGGACTATAATTTTATTGAAATAAATACTGCTTCTACTTTCTCTTGCTTTTCATCTTATTGTTCAACAAAAAACACAACTAATAATTTAAATTGCTAATGTACAATTCATAATGGGAAACCATCATGCCCTATATAAATAAAATACAATAATTTGGAAGCTGCTATGCAGTGGATCCTTAATGGCACAAAAACCTAACATAGAAAAAAAAATACTTCTGACTGTAAACTAATCTGTTTTTCTGTGACATTATAATTTAGCAAATAATGTGTACAGACATACAGCAGGTGAAGACCTATTTAATGTTGGCTCATTTTTGCTACCATTATTGAATTATCATACAGTTCAAAATTCAAACACATTCAAGAATCATGATTTGTTTAATGCTGAAAGCAGAAAGTTCTAGTGACTAGTCCTACCCATGGACACAAGAAGGAAAAATATAGAAGCCACAGAAACTATGCTAAGATAAAAGTGTTGATATTATACAGACCATAAAATTTATTATTCAAGGGCTGCCATACAGCAGACTACATTATTTTAAAATAAGATCAAGAATCTCTGGATGAGGATTGTGTATTCAGGATGTTTGTCAAATTCTTTTTGAGAATGCAATTGAACAGAAAAAACAACTTGTTTCCTTTAGCCAGAAACCAATCCAAGGTAATAGGAAGACACCAGAATAGTTTTTTTACAGCTACCATGTTGAATGGCAACATTTTAAATTGAAAATAAGCCCTAGAGAACCTGCAACTGAGAACAGAAAGGTGTACATTAAAAATTAATCTTCTGACAAATGTGAATGTCAAAGTAACTGTTGTTAATACTGGAATGAAAACTAAGAAACTGAAATGACTATGAATACTAGCAAGAGAGTAATCAATCAAAATTTAAAATTGATTAGAATGGAAAGAATAATAGACACTAGAGAAGCAGCAGCAAGTACAGCAATGTTAGGTTTCACAATAACGGAGCATAGAACAAAAATAGGATTGCTTGAGTTCATCTAAAAATATTCAATGCCCTTGCCAAATTTGTCCATATTAAATACCAAAAACTGTTTCCTCTAAAGTCAAAGAACTTTCTAATGACCCTTAAGTGTCCACTAGTCCTAGAAGCAACATATACTTCTATATGTTGGCTGTGGTTTATATTAGAGCTTTGAAAACAATACAATTAAAGCACCAAGAGAACCAAACACAGAATATATTAGTGCATTGTTATTTAAGAGCAACTGAGACACATAGTCAACTTTTGCGGACTATCTGGGCGAATGGGTTACATTGCTTAATTAGTTTTGCTCCATGACATGACTTATTTCAAGCATCTACAGCAAGTCATTTTTTTACAATCTATATAAAAACATTCAAAGTATACCTGGGTTCCCAATCAGTTAACAGTTTGATCCATTTTTTCTAGGAGAAAGAGGTTGAGTGTCTGTGTAACAGTGCAATACTTTGTATGAACATAGGAAACTGTTTTGTACTGGCAGATTGTTAGTTGATTGCCTTCGCTGAATGTCAACAGATTTCTAAGGTTTCAGATGTATGTTTGTCTCTCCCAACCCTATCTAGAAATGCCCAATGTTGACTGTGAAACATTCTGCACGTAATTCTGCACATTTTCATACTTACTACAAACGTTTCCTTTCATCTCAGTCAGAACCTACCAATTATTTGGCTAGGCTTTGTCGAGGCAATATTATTAGCTAGAAAGCTATTAAGCTCCATAATCCCATTCTGAAGGCATTAGTGCATTTTATACCAAGACAATTAGAAGCTGCAGTTTTCAAGGACCCTTCAGTCAAAGAAGTCAACATAAATTTAGTCACTCATAGTGGCAGCTCAAGATGAAGTATGTTTTGGAGTAAGGTTCATGCTATTATCTTAGTCGATTCTGAAATAAATCCATAGCTACCATGAGATGGTGCCCAATCAGGGTGTCAGACCCCTCCAATGTATTTGCCTGCATATTATTGCTTTGCCTATGTATTCATTTTCAGGGTCTGCCATTCTGGTGGGAGAGGGCCTGTTTGCTTGGGGAATGTATTTGCCTAGCTCTGCTCTGTCCTCTTTGAAACATCCTCTCTTCGTGAGAAAGGAATGTGAACTGAAAACATCTGCCTTATCTCCAGCTTCTCAAAACAACCTGGCACCTATGGATTGGCTGAATTTCAACCAGATAGTGGGAGGAGTTGTAAATGGGTATTATGATGTAACCTTTTGAGTGCAAATTCTTCAGACCTTGCTTTGCTCTCCTGCTATCATTAACTCTCAATAAAAGTTCCTTTTGAAACAATGCCTGTTTCAAGAGTTCTGCTTTCTTGGGAGATCTAAGTGAGGCAGGTCCTTACACAGGGTCTCCATTCCCATTCTACTGATCAAATATTCTCAATCTATTTTAGCTTGCAGTGCTTTCATTTTGCTAAACTAGCTCTCTAAATATGCCAGAATAAAAATTTCCATTCCTGATATTTATTTATATGTTTCTTTAAAATGTTAATTACAATTCAAGGGAGCTTACCTTTTCACTGTCAATATGAACAACATCTTTGGCTTCAGGATCTTCCTCCCACAATGGAGCTCCTTCAGGATCCTTTAGAAAGGCAACCAGTGACTAGAAAGGAAGACACAGCCCTTTAATCACAACTACAGTAGACCTGTCAAATGCTGTCTTGGTCTTTCAGAGACTAGAAACAGAAATATTTGGTCTGCTTTTACTACCAAGAGTTTTAAGGAATTTTGTCCCGATATGTTTGTTTTTAAAAACAGATTCAGAGTACTGAACCCAAACATGACAAATTTTCAGTAGAATTTTTAGAAGAATAGATTAGAATTGGGAAAAGATCATGCTGAACATCTGTCTGTCTGTCTGTCTATCTCATATCACATTTATATACCACCCATCTCATCTATGTGACTCTGAGCAGTTTACAATAAAAACAGTACAAAAATAGAAAAGCTACTAAGTCACTATAGGCATCACCAATTCTACCTTGTGAGACTATTCTGAGGAAAAGGACAAAGAAAGTGAACATATATAATTCTATGGTAGAAAACTAAGATAAAAACCAAATGTTGTACAACAGAAATATCTGATTACTAAAAAGTTACAAACTATCAATGTGCTAAAATGGCACCAGAGTATTTCTTATAAACTGAACATTAAGTAGGATTTCAATCTCACCTATATCACAAGATCAGTGTACAAGTTATACTGCAGACTTAGCAGATACATCTTTCTCAATATACTATATAGCTGTGTGTCTATTTTTTTAAATTAAATGCTCCATCATTTATTTATTAGACTTCATTTAGGAACTCAGACTGATATAAAGAGCACTGTCTCTCCTCCTTTTCTCCCCACAACACTATATGATAGGGCTATTAATAAGAGTATCTCTAGGACATAAGGTAATCACAATTTTTTTTTCTAAAAACAAACATAGATGCCACAGCCAAGTATTCTCTGTGTATCTCTTCAGTGGACCCTAAAATCATGAAAACAGACAAATGGAAATTAGCAATTGTAGAAAGTAGTACAATAGGAAGGTTATATTTTGCTTCAAAATAAGATGTGGTTTGGCTGCTTTTTAGTGCATTATATTTTTGGTCTGTATTTTTGTCTTGAACTTAAGAGTGTGATGTTTGATTTATCTGTATTTTATGACCAACGTGCCTATTCTTCGGATGGTGTGTGTAATCTATGTTGCCCATTTTAATTTTCTAGCAAAGGATGACTGAGATATATGGTAGGTGGAAAGTTTTCCTGTATATGCTGATATTCACTGGTCTGCTTTTGTGGAAATGCATGTTTTGTGACTAATCACGCCATTCTGTATGCTTGTCTACAATATATGTGTAACATTCCAAATGTTACTCAGTCCCCCACAACAGTGTGGGGCAGGAAGGCATGGTGCTGTTTCAATCCAATGTATACAAGCAATTTCTTTGCATTGAAAAAGTATGACACATTACAATGCCTGCCTGCCTGCCTTCCTTCCTTCCTTCCTTCCTTCCTTCCTTCCTTCCTTCCTTCCTTCCTTCCTTCCTTCCTTCCTTCCCTCCTTCCCTTCCTTCTCTTGCAAACAAAAACTGTTCTGAGTATCATTCATGTGAATGCAGGGAGTCACATCCAGTTATTTAGATGCACTGCACACACCCTTTGGCTTTCTCTGCTTATCCGCAGCTTTATCAGTATAAATTTTCCTCGGGGCAGTCCTGAGGGACAGGAGGAACTAATCTTTCAAGTGTTAAAGAAACTGGCTGCATTATTTAGCTTCAGAAATTCCTGCATACCAAATCCATGTGCTAGATATGGGATCTTTAACATAGAGGCCACAAACCTTTTTCTTGGGACTCCAAACTTCTTGATTATTTTAAATAAATTCTCTTTTAATATAAAAATAATTGGATACCTAGCATGTTGCAAAATTCCCTGTACAGTATTCAATATAAACAGAACTGAAAAATACTTCATTCCTGGAGTTACAGCAGAAGAGGCAGCATTTTGCTATTTTCCCAGTTTACTATTCTCTGATACTTAAACTCGTTTTAAAAAACAATGGGAGATCTAAAGCCAAGGAAGTTTCTACAATCCAAGGTTTATAAGGCAAGCTAAAAGCTGAGGAATTAAGAAAAAAAAATGCTGTACAATTTCTTTCCGATCTGACTAAGAGATATGATTCGGATGGGACAACTATTTAAAACATTTAGATTTTGTGATTTCTTTCCTTTATTAGCAAGTCTGCACATGGATATTTACTTTCACAATCATATCCATTTCAACAGTGTTTCCTCAAGTATGAAAAGAAGCTCAGACTACATATGTTTTTTTCCATAAAGTAACCATACTTATAGGCCCCATGATCTGTTGTTGATAACTGGGCCACTGAACTTCATTAGCATGCACTCTGTTTCAGCAAAAACATTGCCAATATAAAATGGGCTAGTTTTTATGTGTAGAAAACAATAAAGTCTCAACAAAGATTCATATAACTGTGATTGTGGGTGAGTTCCTCCCAGCTCTGACCTTGCTAATGGGAGTCAAAGCATTGAGTACCTATCTTACTGAGTTTAATGAGGTAAAGGTAACATTTCTTTCACCTTGCATCTGCAATCTAGTAATCTAGATTTATCACAACTTCTAGATCTCTTTTGGGTAATTTAAGAAAAGGGAACGCTGCTTAAGAAATCATTTTCAAAAACCTAGAAGAAAACGTATGCATCCATTCAGAGGAAACTGCTGAATGTTTGAGAGGAAACTTTGAATCTCCACTCCTCTTAGGCATAATCTTACATGAGTATAAAAAGCCACCCTGGGCTGCAGCCGGAGAAAGAAAACATGTTTAAAATACAAAAGAGCATATGTGGAAAACTTTGTTTGTTCTTGCTGATTTGACACAAAATGAAGTGTTGAATCTATTAACAGTTTAAAAACAGCACACGCAAATTAAAGGCAAGAGCACAAACAGCAGGATGAACTGGAGAGGATTCTCTTCAGAGAGAGGAGAGCGATTTCAAGTAAAATAAAGGTTTGATCCTAGACTAAGTCATATAAAACAAATTACATTTTTAAAGCAATCTCTGTTGAGTTATTGAAATAATTGTTTTTGTCCCTCTGTTATTGATAAATAAACAAATTGTGAGCCTTAAGGCAGGGAATTGTTGCTTTAAAATTGTTAATAACAAATACAACTGAAGATTCTAATGTGAGTTTTCATATCTTTTATCAATAACTTAGACAATATTTATTCTGGAGCCTAATTTTTAAAGTCTTCAAAATTTAATTATGAAGTAGAACCTGAATAGCTTTCCCTAATGTCCAGATATAAGTGGACTGCAATGTTCAGAATTCCAGTAATCTCAAAGAACAGCAGGTTGCAGAGAGCTGACGTAAAAAGGTTATAAGAAAAACAGAATGCATTGAAATCAGAAAAGGTGACTGCTGAGCTATTTTTGTTTTTATCCACATGTACAGAATAAAAAAGAGAGGAACTTTAGCATACTGCTCAGCTGCATCATGCAGGACAAGATTAAACCTCTTTTTTTGTTGTTCAAAATCAAACGAATTTTTCGACTAGAATATTATGTAAATTGAATAAGCTTGACTTAATCTGCAGAATCTCTTTCTCTTTGTGAATAAAATCTTAAATTCAAAAGTTAACAATATATCTCAGATACTGGTTGCTTAGCATTAGCAGGATGAGACAGCTTTAAGGTTCAAAGAATTCGTCTACAGCCAAATTTCACCATGGGTGAGATATAAAAAGGAATGCCTCCTGGTAGGCATAACTGTCACATAATCTTGCAGATGCGGTCACTGACACGATTTAACAGTTGTTATAGAGCAGTGGTGGCGAACCTATGGCACGGGTGCCAGAGGTGGCATTCAGAGCCCTCTCTGTGGGCACGCGTGCCGCCGCCCCAGTCCTAGGCCTTCAGCTGGGTTTTATAAAATCTTTTCGCTTTAGGCCTCTGCCGCCATGTGCAAAAAAAAAAAAAAGGTTCAATCCACAGTCAATTTCAACTACTTGCAGGAAAAAAAAAGATCTGGCAAAGTCGGGATTGAACTTTTTAATCCCACCCAGTCTACTGTTACCACTGCAGCCACACCTACCCAATGGGCCACACCCACCCAATAGGCCACATCCACCCGGCACCCGACAATGCATAAGTGGGTTTTGGTTTGCAGTTTGGGCACTAAAAGGTTCGCCGTCACTCTTATAGAGTCTAGATAATTATTTTAGGAAGGTTCATTCTTATTTCTGTTGAATAATCATTAGAAACATCCTGCACACCACTTATAGCAGAACAAATGTTGGAAGCTTGTTTCAAGTGCCAGATAAAGAGCCCCCGTATTTTTTTTCAGCTGGATTTTTTCACCATCTTGATTTAGGCAAAACGCTACTGTAACAGCTACCATCAGTTCCATCGATAGACGTTTTGGATTGCTTTTTTTTTTTTAAGATCTGTCAGCAACATTTTTGGACTTTGTTCTGGACCTGCATGATATCTGTATTAGTTGAGGAGAAGGCTATATCTAAGCACTAACTAGTCTCTACCTGGCTTTAGTCTAGCTAGTAAGTGTTTGGTAAGAAAATAATTATCTTCTCTTTACAAAAGTAAGTTCTTTTTGATTACTGCTGGGTTGGATATTTCTCCTCTAGAATTGCATGGTTTAGCTTTAGCATGCGTTCTGTTTTAGAATATAGGTAATTCTTGCTTAATGAATGAACATTCAGCATTCAGCTTCCATTCAAAGTTACGGTTACGCTGAATGAATAGTATTTAAGCTCAGTCCCCGAGGTCACATGATCAAAATTCATGTGCTTCCCAGCCCACCCCACTTACAACCACAGGGGCACTTCAACTGCTGAGAAAGCACACATTGGCTGGCCCTATGCAAGGCAGCTGCTGGCTGCACCAGGCTCTCTTTTTAAGGCTGCTTGTAGTTTTCTCTGAATAGCATATGTCGTTCTTGCAATGCTTCAGAAAGCCTTCAGAAAGCTTCCAAGGCTTTGCACAGCCCTAAAAGAAGGCTATATCTACATTCTCCAAACTGTATGTATCATTTGTAATGGTATGTGGGAATGGCCTGCCTCTTTGGAGGTGGGCTTGAGATGCTGCCTAGGGAGCAGTCAGATAAAAGAGAGCTTAGCCCGCAGCTGTATAGCAGGCAGAACAAAAAGCTCAAGAGGGACGATCCTTAAGTTCTTGGGCTGTAAAGGAGATGGAGGAGAATTGTACTTTCAAACTTGCAAGATTCTACCAATATAACTTTACAATAAAGTAGAATTGGCTTATTTCAGTGTTTCCCAAACTTGACAATTTTAAGCAACGCTGGCTGTGGAATTCTGGGAGTTGAAGTCCACATGCCTTAAAATTGTCACGTTTGGGAAACACTGGCTTATTTGGTCAGGTTTTATGTCAGATCTGTCTGGCAAGGTTGATATCGTACTTGTGATACTTTGGAAAGTCTTCAGAAAGCAGCAGGAAGAAACTGGCTCTTCCTCCTGTCTCCCAAGGTCATTTTCACTTAGCATTACAGCCTACCTTGATAGAAGCAGAAGATCACTCAGCAAGCAGGTCTACTGCCAGACAGGAAGTTTAGAATTGCTGCCTGGTCTAAATGAGCATCTCTTTCTGAAAACTATTTATTCTCTTCTCCCTACAGGAATCACTGGGATGGGCCTATGTCACTCTTGCTGGCAGTCCAGCTGGCGGGATCCAGGAGAAGGGCCTTCTCTCCCATTGCACCTGCTCTCTGGAACGTTTTGCCCCCAGAGTGAGGTTGACTCCAATCCTTCCAATTTTCCATAAGAGCCCAAAGACCTGGGAGCCTCACAATGGAGGGGTTGATCAATTAACAACAAATCCCACCTCCCTCCCATCCTGGGTCTTTCCCTCTCCATCTTTTAACTGGGCTGCTGTATTTGGCTGTGTGTAGTATTTTATTAATGCTTTTTATCTTTGTTCAGTTTTTATTTTGTATAAGTGTAAGCCGCCCAGAGTAAGCTAAGATGGGCGGTTACTAAATTTTATAAATAAATAAATACCTAAATAAAGTATAAGAAAGAAAATGATGTGGCAAGAATATTAATAGGAAGGCACTTCAAAATAAGCACGTAAGAATATGTAACGTAAATCCCCCAAAATATAACCGAATCTGCTGACCATATTGTGAATTACTACTGTTTTCATATACACAAAAAAAACTACGCTGAAAAACCATACACTTGTTATGTTTTTATATCCATACGTCATTTTTTTTACTAAACTTATTCAGTGACACAATCAGAGAGCTAAAAAAATTAATGCATTGGAGTATCATAATTATTTAAAACAGTTAAAAAGTTCAAAGGATAACAGCTTTAGTTCTTGCTTGAGAGAATAAAATAGAACCCACAGAGATTTGAGCCATTCCATGCAAATCTGTTTCATTATTCTACACCTCTTACTCTTAGGAAACCTCTCCTGATGTCAATTAAAAACTACTTTGTTATAATTTTTTTTTGTCCCATTGTTTTTGGAACTACTCTGCTCTGTTTGCTTGTCCTTCAGATATTTGAAGGTAGCTATTATGCCTCCCCATAGTCTTTACTTCTGCAGATTAAGAAAATACCACATTTCTAAATATTCTTGACAAGTTTTTTCTTCCAGACCCATTCTAATCTAGCTCAGTTTCCTTCAGATATGCTCCAGTTTATCAGTCTCCTTTCTAAAACGCAATACCCCAAATGGGATGCAGTATTCTAGTTATGGTATGATAAGTAAAGAATACAGCACTGTAGAACAGTGGCTTTTCTTGATCCTGAGGCTATTCCTTTGTACATGCAGTCTAGGTAGCACTGACTTTTCTGCAACTGCATACAACTGTTGCCTCATGTTCTGCCTGTGATCCACCAAGAGAGGGGTCTCCAACCCCCGATCCATTACCTATTGTGAACTGGGTCATGCAAGCGGTGGGCAAGCTCACAAAGCTCCTTCTGTGCAACCGGCGGGCACGTGCACGAAACCATCCCCTCCCCCATCCTGCCGCCACTGCTGCTGGTCCACAGAGCCAGAAAGGTTGGAGACCGCTGCACCAAGACACTCAGATTTTTTTTCTGCTCATGGTGAAATAGTACTCCATTACTATAATTACCTGCTGATATCTCTCTCCTTCCAGGAATTAATCAATTCCCCTTTTAAAGCTATCTGAGGTTTATGTGTATGAAGTAATTTATTCTGTCTGCTCTGAATCCAAAAATGTTTGCAAACGCAAACACTTGCTCTGTGCACTTTGCATAATTTTATAAGCTGCTTTAATGTTCCCCCTTGGTTAACCTTATATTTGCTCAATATAAAGGAGACTAAATACTTCAGTTGTCCCCCACAAAGCTGCTTCTGTAGCCTCTATATCAGTGGTTCTCAACCTTTCTAATGCCACGACCCCATAATACAGTTCCCCGTGTTGTGGTGACCCCCAACCACTTATACATCACCGGGTGCCAAGGGCGTGGCCAAAGAAAAGGGGGAAAAAATGGCGGACAGCCTTGTTTGGCGACCCCCGTGAAATGGTCGTTCGACCCCAAATGGGGTCCCGACCCACAGGTTGAGAACCACTGCTCTATATACTCTTTTCTGCACCTTCTCTACCTTTTAAATTTTTGAAAGATTAAAACACAGGTAGAACATTTCATAGAAACTTAGAAAACTGATGGCAGAAAAAGACCTAGTGGCCCATCAAATCTGCCATTTGAGTTATTTTTTTAAAAAAAAAATCTGTCAGATGACGGACATGTGTTTATCTTAAGCATATTTAAACCCCATTACTGACAACTGACCACTACCTCCACTAGAAGTTAGTTCCAAATTTCCCCTACTCTTTCTGTGAGGTAATACTTTCTAACATTACTTTTGAACTTCCCTCCTGTCTGTCTGGAGTTATGCCCCTGTGTTCTTAATTTTTGCTTAGTGTTGAAAATATTGCTTTCTAGAACCTTATTCACACGCTTAATATATTTATTGGTTTCAATCTTTCAATCTCTTTTCGTTTGGCTGCATACATATAACTCAGTTCTTCCAATCTCTCCTGATATGATTTGTCTCTCAGAGCTTGTACCATTTTTGTTGCCCATCTCTAGACTTGCTCAATCTTGTCAATATCTTTTCTTAAACGAGGTCTCCAAAACTGGGCACAATACTTCAAATGGGGTCTGACTAAAGCCCTATACAGTGGTATTAGGACCTCCTTTTTCTTCCTGGTGAACCCTTTAGTGATGCAACCCAGATTTTATTTTTTCAGAACTTCAAGGATAGCTACATCATAGAGGCTTAACTTATTCAAACATGGAACCTTTCCCATGCTGATAGCCTGGGCTACCATGCTAACTAAAATGGATTCATAAAAATTCATAGCCTAAAGTTGCCATTTGGAGAAGTTCTGGAGGTTAGGGTAAAAATCTGGGGTTACATTTTTACAAGGTAAATTCAACTGAGCTGAACAGTGGATTCCAATAGCAGAATTCTTTAAAGATGTTCTCGAGCTCAATACAGTTAGTTCTCATTTAGCGATCAGAATTGGGACCAGCAACTCGGTCCTTAAGCAAAGCGGTCATTAAGTGAAAATATGACCGTATTTACGATCTTACTTCAGCTTTCCTTTGCTTTACAGACCTGCAAAGGTAATAAATGCAAGGATTGGTCACAAAGTTACTTTTTTATTACTGTCGTAACCGAGAATGATTGCTAACCAAAGACTATTTGTACATCTCTTAAAATAAATGCAGAGGCAGAGCCAACTGAAATTCATGTGCCTCATGAGATTTCTTTGTGAATTATTTTATTTCTTAAAGCTACTTCTGTGCTAGGTCCAAATTTAGAAGTCACCCCACCAGAGGCACTCAACCTTTCTCTGTAGAGAAAGAGGACAACCTCTGCTAAGTTACTATTTCTTCTTGATCCTCTCTATTTGCCTGCTTGGAATTGGGAACCATAAGCACAACTAAAAGCCAAAAGTCTCCAAATTTTGGCAATGGAGTCACCTACTAGGCAAAACCCTCAGCCTCTGACAATGGCTCAAACCCCAGAGATGGAGCTTCTTTAATCTAGTCAATTTTCTGGTGTCCTCTAGAGGTCATTTTTCTCTGAAGTTCTTTCTTTGTGTAAATCCTATTAGGGTCAGGCAGGAAAGAGAAGGAAAACCATGGTTAGGGAGGAAGGCCACTTCACCCATTCTAGACTGAAGCAACTTCTCAGTGAGTTTAATCTATGTCTCCAATGAGATCTTGAAACTTCACCCATTCTAGACTGAAGCAACTTCTCAGTGAGTTTAATCTATGTCTCCAATGAGATCTTGAAAAAGGCCAATTCATCTCTCTTTTAATCTTGTTTCATAGCAGATGAAAAAAATAATAAAAAGATGTGTATTTTCCTAATCACTCTCAGTTTCATGCTATTAGATATAGGCTGGCATAAAAGGGGACTTATAGCAAAGCCGAGATCTTCTCATTAAAAACAATCACAATAACCATCTTCTCCCTTTGTTGGCAAATTGCAATGAAGCTGCAATTTAGCATTACCTCAATCTAGTTAATCACACATAAATTCACAGGATGTTTGGCATCCATATGTACAGGAGATTTGAGACCTTTAGATCACTCAAACAGCTGTTTACAAAATACACCACCTCTCTCCCATCCAAAAACAAAGCTGCATATATTAACAGCTTTTCTACATCCAAACACAGCCTTTCTTTTCCGAGAGGTTTGGAACAACTGTAAATTTACCTTCAGTGTAAATGCTCTGTTATATTCAGTGTGAAATGCACCATCTCTATAAAGAAGAAAAACAGTAATTATTTTTAACTACGCCATTAGAAAATCATGCAGCTCTTTATTCTGGCCAGACTAAATGAACTTTTTGTCATTTTTGCAAGCCTGTGCAAAACAGAACAATGAAAAACAAGTTTTTGAAACAAACAGGTCTCTAATGGGCAATCACTCCCTCAACCCTTAATGAGAGCATTTACCATAGACCAGGTTTAGGGAGTGACAGATACACAGGGGAACTTCCATTAACAGTGCACTGCTCTATTTAGGCAATTTAATCCCCACAGAACAAAAGCAGACATTATGCTCAAGTCCTCTGAAATCAATGAACTGAGAAAATACTTTCAACTTATTCAGAAAACATTGGTAGAGACCACATTACTGAAATGAATCAAGGAGCATATAGGTAGCTCAAAGTGTTGGTATTAGTTTCTGAACTGTTTTTCAAACATAACAGCTTTTTAAAACGATCACATTGACATGATTTTCCCTATTTCTTTCACACCAGATTTGAAAAAAGAGATAATTTCGAGAAATCTCTTTGACCCTCTACTACTGCTGCTTGTACTGGAATAAAAAGATTATGTTATTGATCTGTAAAACACTTTTATTGAGGCAGTTCCCCAAAGGTGCAACACACTTTTGTTATCGTAACAAAAATCTCTCTAATAATAAATATACATACACATGTTGCCAGCTGTTTATAACTCTGCTTACCATCTCTCTATAGAAAAGAGAGAGAGGACAGCCAGTCAGAATGTTGAGATCCTGCCTATTTATGACACCTGAAATAAGCCTAAGATTGAAAATCAGGCTTGTCAGATGTTATATTTTTTCTATCCTGTTCTATGGAGTAGAGAGTTGGTCTCTGACAGAAGGCCACCTGAAGAGACTAGAAGCATTTGAAATGTGGATTTACAGGTGGCTGTTATGTATAAGCTGGGTTTGCAAGATCAGAAATGTGGAGGTGATCAGCCGCCTGGGAAACCCAAGGGAAATCATCAAAACAATTAAAAAATGAAAATTAGAATATTTTGGACATGTGATGCGACACCCATTTAATCCTCCAGGGAAAGATTGAAGGCAAATGAGGTCCAGGCAGAAAAAGAACATCACGGCTTCAAAATCTAAGGGACTGGTTTGGACAAAACTCAGCAGCATATTTTTATGCGGCTGCTGATAAAAACAGGATCGCCAACATGACCGCCAAAGTCCAATAACGGATATGGCACAAGAAGAAGAAATTTTTAGATGAAAGGATTGGTCTTGTGCTACCGGTAGCTGATCAGCTCCAAATTCTGAATGAAGCCTGGCCATCTGCTTATTCTTGTTTTTGCTGAGCATTTTGTCCTCAACGTGGAAGTGAGTCCATGGGCATGAGAGATTGCTGAAGTTGATCAGCAGATATATCAAAATTGCCAGGCTGCAACTTCCTCCAAGAAATCTGAAGTGAGGTAATATTCTGCATCCCTCTTTAATTAGACAATAAAGAAGTAACATTTGGTAAGGAAATATTTAAGGAATGGTAAGCCTCTGCTCTGGTGACCATCATTGAGTCCTACTTCTTGTAAAGGAAGACTGAATCAGACTCAAGTAGAGTTGAGTTGTTGGAGTTCTTGGAGTTCTTGTTCAAGGAAATGTAACTTATGAGAACCACAGCTGTCACTTTTATGTGCTAGGGGAATGATCTCTACTCAAGAGGACATCTGGAGCTTCAAGAACAATGCAAAGCAAATTTAAGTTAGAATTCTTCTAAAATATGGATGGAGAGGTACACAAAATATGAATATATAGTTTAGCTTGGCAAGTTAACTGAAAGAGCATTGAAACAAAGTTTTTCCCATACTCACTTGAAGTGGGAAATTATGGCCTGTATTTGATAGGACTCCAACTTGTAGCAAATGTACAGATTAATCAAGCTCCCATTCCTGCACCTGAGTTCCCCACAGACATACACAATACACATACACAGGGGGTCAAACGCGACCTTGGGAATAATTTCAGCAGATCTGGGGCTGACAAGGATGGTAAAAATTATAAAGCATTCAATGCACAAATCAGATTTGTATCTATTATATACAGTAATCTAGATTAAGCATTTTAAAATAATATTAGTATGCACAAGGCAGTCAAACAAGGATTTTGAACTCTGACGGGAATCAGTTAAGAGAAATTGACTCAATTTCAATCAGAATTTAACTAGGGACTACCAGATTATTACAAGCAATCTTGGACATCTTGCCAGCATGGGTTTTAATCTTCACAATGGAATGCACTAGCAGTCAAAATGTGGAGGAAGCAGAAACTAGAATACAAATATTCAATTAAGTAATTACTGCGTTAAAAAGCAAGATCATTCATACATGGTACAGGCTACTAGCCTATTCTGATTTCGACTTTATAAGCCACCCAAAGTTATTGAGAGTGAATTGGGTAGCCATATAAATGTTCTTAAATAAACAAACAAATGTATATAACCCTGTATAGCAGGGGTGTCAAACTCAATTTCATTGAGGGCCGCATCAGCACTGCGGTTGCCCTTGGGGGGGCGGGTGGGTGTGGCCAGGGTAGGTGCGCCTACTGGGTGGGCATGGATGGAGTGGGTGTGGCCTACTGGGTGGGCATCGTTCACATTAAGGGTCACTATGGGGGCCTGGGCAGGAGTGGGACAGATCTGAGGGTCTCTGGCAGAAGGGGGTGGGACCGGGGCAAGCGCCAAGTCATGGTCCATTTCTTCATTCCACACAAAGGGTGACACCTCCCCAGCATGCACTCAGAGTCCGGGGCCGACACGGCAGAGGCTGGTTCCTTGCTGTTTCCAAACGGCCTTGTGGAGCTAAGACTGAATGCGTTTCAACATAGATGGCCACCACAAAATTGTACATTGGCTCCTGGCCAGCTTGGGCCAGGGCCAAGGCAGCGGGGGTCGTTCCCTCACTGTTTCCAGGATGGCTTTGCGGGCCACATGAAACCACTTCGTGGGCCACATCCGGCCCCCGGGTCTTGTGTTTGACATGTCTGCTGTATAGGATTGTATTGTACAACAATGTCATTCTCAAAGCCAAGGAGCATCCTAGAAATTTCAACATAATAGCCATTAACCCACTCATGTACATACTTGTAGTGTAGTAATTCTATCCCTTTCTCTTTCAGACCAGGATCAACCTTCATCTTCTTGCATAGTTTTCGGCTTTCTGAATCACTGTAAGAGATACCGGTAAATGAAAATATTTTATTTTTAATAAAGTGTTAGTATCATATTACAATTAATATTAACTATAAGCATATTATTCCAGTTTAGCAGCTTTACTTAAAGTGCCTAATACTTTAGATCGAATAAAAATCCACATTAAGTATCAAAGTTTCAGTTGTATATTGAGGTGGATAATAGAAACTGGGCTTTTTGAGCATTTTGATTATATTCCTTCATAAAGAAGTTAAAGCCATTCTATTTCTATATACTTTAAAGGTAGCAGTTGTGATCGTTTCAACATGATTTAATGTTCTCTGATTGTAATTTTATGATGTAAAAGCTTTAAATTAATTTTTCATTGTTGTTTGGTTGTACATCAACTTGGCTACATGCCAGGCAGGAAATTCAATTTGTGAATTTGAAATCACATTAGAGCAGCATCTAGCAAAAGCTACTTTATTTGAGATAAGCAACCTTAAAAAAAAACCAATAGTTTCTTCTTACAAGATTTTTCTGAACCTGCTTTTTCCACTATGCCAGTTCTCAATGGAACCAGTTAACAATAAACCGATATTAAGAACAGAATGATGAAATGCTAACATAAAATCATTAATGTCCCATGCTTCACAGATACTTTTGACTATAAGATTATGTATATGTATATTGTATGTATATGTACAGCATATGTAATCAGTTCTTGTTCCTCTTTCTTTACAGCATGATTATTTAGTTTTGTGCTTTTATTGCAGCTATCTTTTTCCTTCAGCCCAGTTTTGCCTCTATTTTCTCTCTCTCTCTCTCTTTCTCTCTCTTGCTTTGCTATTTTTGCTGCTAGAAGGGAGAAAGGTACCTATAATACGTGTATGGGCATTTAATGAAAGTGACGTGTGTGATAGAGAATAGTTGGTATATGCAGTGAGGATCAATCGATTTCACAAATGGGGAGCCTCCTTATACTGAAAATTAATTCTAAATAGTGATTGTTTCAATGCATACGTATGTTTGGGATGGAATTTCTGGCAAACATACCTACACACGTGCACACACACAAGCAGACAAATATTTCAGACAAATATTTCTGACATTCACTCATATTCAGAAGGGGAAATCCTAGGATTTTCTGTGATTGACTCCCGGATAAGCTTTCCAAGAAGTGTTATAAAATGAAAATACCACTATTGATAAAGCCTTACCACAGACGCACTTGGACAAATGCAAGTAAGAACATGTGCAAATACATAAGAATATATATGGAAATCAGATGCAACTAGATCTATTTTAACTAGATTTTCCAAATCTCAGACAGGATTTCTACTTTTTTATACAGTAATTTTATTAAAGATTATAACAATCAAAATTAATACAAAGTAAAAAAATAACAGAAAGGGTGCAGAAAAAAGAGGGAAATAGAAATAAATAGAAAAGAAAAAATAAATAAAAATACATGTGTGTGTGTATAATTTCTCATCTTCTTCACAACTATAAACAATTTCAGTAACTTATCACCTTCTCTTAAAATACAACAAATGATCTCTTCTTCCCATATCTTATTTCTTACCTTTAAACAAATCCATAAAGCCTCACTGTTTCATTCCTGATATCAGCAGAAGTCTATTAAGGGTTACCAGAAACAACAATACATCTAATTTAACTCTGATCAAATAAACCAACTTTATATTCCTTCCTTTTACTTCTCACAATTTTTAATCCCTCCAAATAATGTCCTAGACCTAGAACTTGATTTATTTTTTCTTTCTCCCTTCTCACAAAATCCTTCAAAACTTTAACAAGCCTCTTTTGTAAATCAAGTGTAATAAAATTATTCAGATCAATCTCTTGATTTGTTTGTATTTCCCTTTTAATTATTAAAACATCAATCATTTTTGTATGTCCAGTATACCATCTTCTTCCATATCATTCTTGCAGACATCCTTTTTCAACTCAGTCTTTATCTTGCCAGGTAGAAACTGCTCCTCTTCTGTAACATCTTTTACACACACTGTATGTATAGAGACAGGCACTCTTAAAAGGAACTTCTGGGTCCTTGGTCCAAAAATATTCATGTTAAAATATTTTGTTTCATTCTATAACTGTAAATTGTGTTTAAGTTTCTTTTTCTTTAATTGAAATATTTAATTCCTTCCAGATTCCTCTAGTGTCCAATTTTTAAAATCTTATTTTTGGTTAATTCAAAACACAAGCATCTCCTGATGGGAAAGATTCTTTACAATTAATTCCAAAATTTTAAATTTATTTGGACCATTACTTAATTTATAACTTTCTAAAATCCAATTTTTAATCACCCTTTAGCTGTTTATCTCCTCCCCCATTTTTTAAAAACTTCTTAAACTTGAAGTTAAAACTTCTTTCACTGAAAATTGAAGGAAATTCACCTGGTGCTATATAACATGTTGATCCCAATGTTCCTAATAGCTTAAAAGTAATTTCTAAAAATGATTAGTAAAGAAAATATGCGAATTGAGTGTCCTTTCAAAGGCACTGACTGAGGTTTGACCAACATGGTTATTAATCAGCTGGAGACCACTGTCTGGAACACTTGTGGGCAATCTCAAGTCCTCTCCTTGTCAAGAGAGGAATTATTAAAGAGCTGGTCTACTGTTCGCCATTTCTTCAATCCACTTTTTCTAGTTCTATAGATATTTTAAAGTAAAATGATCCTAAATTTCAGTAACTCTGAAGCAAACCTACAAATAAACATTCACATTTGTCAGAAAGTAAACAGGTAAGTTCTATCATAATCATTCTACACATTTTATTTATTAAACACAAGTGTTAAGAGAGTAGTCTCTTATTTTTTAATCTGGAATAGAGGTTCCAGGACATGCAATTTGCATATTAAAAAGATTGCTTCCTCCCGAACACATAAAAGGATGTAACAAAAATGTTCAACATTGGGTCAAACCAAAGTTAGTTCTGAGTAAGAAATAGGCAAGCATAATAGATCTTAACACTCAGTTTGACCCTCAGAAAACTAGCTGACAAATGAGTACTATACTCAGCAATTGAATTGCTAAGGGTTCAGCCAACAGCAATTTTAAACAAGAGAAGTAAACTGATTTTAAAGGGGCTTCTATCGTATTTCAGTAAAATAGACAAAATAAATACTATGTGTGTATGTATATATGTATGTATACAAACACACATACTTTAAACATTGTGTGTGTGTTATACACACACAAATATCTAAATAGTTTACATTACAAATATATTAATGAGTGTATTAGCTATATAGAAATGGTCACAATGGAAAACTGTTGTTAGAGGCATACATCACAAATTTATTGTGAGGCTCCCTGTACTTTTTGTTATTTTTTAAAGGCTATATAATCCTGTTTGCATAAGAAAATCTGTCTTGAGAAGAAAAATTAAACCAGCATGATATCTAGCACTAAAATACAGAGAAATGAGAAAAATAGGAGAGGCAGGCAAAATATTAAAAGAAATTAAAGATCCCTTTGAGCAGAGCTCAGCTCTTGGTGATTACTATACTTGGAACATATTTGTGTAGTTTTCATAGCAACGTATAGTAGGGTCTTTTGGGCTTCCCTGCTTAGCTTACAGTCCTACTATTCTTTGGTGGGACCAAGTACTATTTAGGCCAAATCTGGGCACTTAACAGCCCGCCAGCCACATCTGGCCCTTTGACTGTCCCCATCCAGCCTATGGCAGAGGTGGCAGCCCTAATGGTTCGGTCCTCCGTAGCAGTTCCAGTTTCACATGTGGCCCCTATTATTTGCATTACTAATATATCTGAACTGCAACCCTTCAAAGGAATCCAAAATAGATTAGTAACATATGCAATAGTTGTAGTTACAAGGAAGAAAAATAATGAAAATGTGTTATTTTACATGTAGATAAGATTAAAAATTACCCCCTTTAGACAGTTACGTTTTATGTCAGAAATGTTTATATGTACTAACTTTTTATAAATAGCTACATAAGGATAAATCCTGCTTAATATCAAATCCTTGTTAAGATTGGTGACCACATAAACCAGTAAGAAAAAACTGAGCTTTTTCAACCAGAGAAAGATGTAAGATAGATAAGAGGTAAGATAAGATAACCTTTATTGTAATTTTTTTACTATGGGCACAATGGCACACATCAAAAATGAAATTTAGTTGCCCGCTCTCAAAGTGAAACACATACATGACACACACCTAAACATACTATGTACAACATATGTATAGATCCACACCCCTACATATACCTAGCAAATAAATATTAAATACTGTCCATGTTGAATATATAATGGAAGGAGGAAGCTTGAGAGTTCACAAGGTTAATGCTGTATGGAATGAAACTATTTTATTTATTTATTTATTTATTTATTTATTTATTTATGAGACTTATATACCGCTTTAAGTGCAAGCACTCTCTAAGCGGTGTACACCAGTAAGCAATGTATATATATAATTTACATTGCCCCCAACAATCTGGGTCCTCATTTTACCTACCTTGGAAGGATGGAAGGCTGAGTCAACCTTGAGCCGGTGAGATTTGAACCGCTGACCTGCTGAACAGCTAAAGTGGCCTGCAGTACTGCACTCTAACTGCTGGCTGAATCTGGATGTTCTGCTACAGATACCACGAAGCCTCCTCCCAGAAAGTAACAAGGAAAACAGGTCATGAAGAGAATGTATAGTGTCCCAGACAATCCTGCGGACCCTGCTCAAGCAATGCTTCTGTGCTATGTTCTGGATGGGAGGGAGGGGACTGCCAATGATCTTTTCAGCCATCCTCACCACTCTCTGCACCGCCTTTCTGTCTGTACAGGTAGCCCTCCACTTTCAACCATTCATTTACTGACTTTTTGAAGTTACAACAGCACTGAAAGAAGTGACCTATAATTAGCACTGATGATGTTACCTAGTTTGGATAATAAAATGTCTGTAAGAAAACAACCAAGCTCAGAGAGCACCAAGTCCCCCCATTTCAACCCTGAACTACAAATATTCTCTTTTTATTGGCGATTTTTGACCATTTTT